ACTGATGTTGTAATGGGTTTCATTCTTCTGACCTTGTATTTGTCAGGACTGACCATGATAGTCAGTGTGAACGTGGAGCCCCGAGGGAAAGGAGCCTCGTACTTTCGCTCCTCTGCGCCCCACGCTGAGCTCCTGCAGGTGTTCAGGACCACGTATCCGGGATAATTATCAAACCTCGGGTTGAAGTGAAGCGCTACGTCCGCTCCGGCCCTCGACCCGCACTGCAAGTTCACATGGAACCTGGAGCAAAGTACGAGATACAGAAATGAGATTTCACTCGCATTTCAGCTGACAATCCCTTTTCTCCCCATGACTTTACGACTTGTGTTAGTACAGGGTTTCTGCAGGTTTCAACAAGTTAAATTGAAGACTTAAGACCATTTTGAAACCATTGTGATCGCAATTTAAGACATATTTCACATCCATGCTGGCAAAAAAGTACGAAGGATGCGAAGGAAGATAAGAGTCCCGGAAATACTGGCAAAGTAAATTAATTTATTCACATTCATCATGAACAAACATTAATTAATTAATTGTTGTTGTTGTTGTTATTATTATTATTGCTGAGAGGAGACGGCCACAGTAGCCCACACACCATATCGCAAAACTAACTGGGCATGCTCCGATAAAACTGGGCTACACAGTTAATGGTTAGCAGGTAGTAATTATTGGTTCCATGTTGGTTTGGTTTTGTCGATTCGTTAAAGCGTAATAATTTTTTCTCCCAAAGCAAATTTAAAAGCGAGACTTCAGTTAATGCAGCTTTATAAAAGTACAGTAGTCTCCCCGTAGACACGGGTGATGCGATCTTAAGACAACGGATAACAACAAACCACCCGCGGACCCCATACACAGCGTGATTTCCGTGTAGCCTTCATGCGTATGGTAAAGTTGAACTGATAAATTACGCACAGTAAGACATTACCACACAGTAATAATGAAGTACATTGTATATTATTATATAGTGCTGTACAGTGCGGTACTCGTTCGAATGAAAGGCATACTGACGTGTTAGACTAATTCACAAGAGACAATAATGCAGTACAAATAACATGTATCCAAGTAGTGACGGAGCAATGAAAATCATGCTTTTTACACTCCCCAAAGGACAAAATAACAATGAAAAACGTAGGCAACTTAAACATTATGCAAAGAAAAATAATGTATCAGGTAATTACCCATACATAACTTGTAATATGAAAAAATGTTTAATAATGTCTTAGCTCATTCCGGGGTAGCCTACTCAGCGGTTTACAGGCTGAACTCGCGTGGAGCGCGATTTTAAACTTGTGAAGCCTGCTGTAAACTTTTTTCCGACAGCAGTAAACTGCAGACAGTTATAATTGGATTCGTGATTTTAGTTAATAATCCAGTCAATTTCTAAGACCTGTCAAAATCGTTGGCCTCTGTCATTTTAAGGGCTAAAATTCAGATTATTGAATTTCAGACTTTTTAACGACTTCAAAGATAGCGGAAACCCTGTACTAGTAGAACCCGGTTTAGACTTAAATCAAGTCAAATTAAGTCCTGAACCTCTTCGCATTTAGTTTAACTTTTCCGGTAATGGTGATCGTTTTCCCATCTTGAAGTCCACCTTGAATAGAACCGGTGAAGGGGACAGTCTGTGGAAATACGTGATGATATATTTAGTATGATACGTTAAGGATGACATATGATATGTTTAACATCGGATTGTGTAATTGGCATAGTCATACTGTAAAGTCAAAAGCTGTGAATTCACATTGTCTAACATTAAAATACTGAATTAAATGCAAAGTGAAAATTACGGAGATCATATTTTGCCCATCACTATAAATCCGTTAAATAGCATGTTTACTAAAGCCATATGTAATTTTACTTACCGGGTTAAAAAACGGTTGCTGGTTGCGATACGCCATCGTTTGTATAACAGCTGCTCAAGTGATACAGGTTTAAACGCAACTTATCCTAAGGCTATACCTCACTTCTGCTTCCCGAAGTTTCGTTTTCCTGGGCCTACCTGCGTAGTGGTGTCGTGACGTAAAGAACTAAGGACTGGAGGGCAGGCGTGGTGGTGAAACAAAGAGGAAAGGTTTATTGCTGTAAATGGACAGAGACTGGAAACGAAAGGATCACGAAGGATCACAGACGGGTGGACTTCCAACCAAGAAAGGCAAAAGTAAAAGGCAGGCACGATGTCAATGACCGGACTGGGGCTGACGAGACAAACAGGTACTTAAATACAAGGACCTACGAGAAGTAACAAGCAACAGGCGTGGCTCAGCAGGGCCGTGTTAGGGAGGAGACAGGAGGGTCCGCATACCCTACCGCAAATAAATGCTTACCTTCGTGTGAGAAAGTAACAGAGCAATTTTACTTTAAATAATAATATCATTGTATAACCATGACGCTGTTTCTTACACAACTGCACACATAGTTAATGTTAATGAGTTACTCTGGTTCCGCTTTACGTTTTTGCTGGCATATCTTACTTCTTTAAAAAATATAGGCCTACTCAGTAGCAAAAAAAGTTAAGTACCCAGATGGAGGGGTTGGAAAAGTAATGCATCTGCACGTGGTAAAAGGTCATGTGACTGTATCACAATCATTATAATATCAGATTAAATGGACAAAAGATTTGCCAGTATTGGCACACTGTTGGCCCCATGTCAGTAGGGTTTGGCACCCCCCCCTCCCCGGGCCTATTCTCTCCTGCGTAAAGTCGGCCCACAGCTGTTGTAACTGGCCCTTGAGATCCTGCAGATTGGCACTGGGTCTAAGTTGACATCTGAGCTGATGCCACACATGTTTGACTGGGGAAAGATCGGGGGACCTGGTTGGGCACCGGAGGACCTCAACATGACGCAGGCAGTCCATAGACAGAGGTGCCATGTTTGGATGGGCTTTGTCCTGTTGAAGGACTGTACCAGGGTGCTGTCTCAGGAGGGGTTAGACATTCGGACACAGGATGTCACTGACGTGGCGCCGTGTTGTCAGGGTCCCCCGAATCAGTACTAGAGATGACCTGAAGTCACCTTATGTCTCTCCACACCATGATGCCAGGAGTAACTCCGGTGTGTCTCTCCACAACATTGGTAGGATTGGTCCTCTCTCCTCAGCACCACCATACGCCCACACAATGGTCATCCGGGGTAATGCAGAACCAAGATTCATCGCTGAACATGGTACGACGCCACTTGACATCAGTCCATGCCTCCCAATTACGGCAGACTATGCATGGGAAGGTGAACCCATAGTCATGCATGTTATAGAGACACAGTGCAGGATGACATATGGTGTTGTAGAGAGTCCAATACCTGTGTTCAGATGGCTTGTGCAGATGTCGTGGGGTTCTGTAATGCTTGGCGCCACCTCCTGTAGTGCCAGGCAATTGCACGATACAACCACCCAACCTCATGCAAACCCACAATGCAACCCCTATCAAACTCCGCCAAGTGCTGGTAATGCTGTCTAATGCGTCTGTAAGGCATCTTCTGTGTCTGGTGACTAGACGTGCCAGCTCCTTGCAAATTGAATCATTTACATACCTATCGCTGATCTGCAAGCGTAGTAAATTATATCCAAATTGGACCATTACAACTTTTTTGTCACTGAGTGTATACTGTATCCACCACTATGGGGCGTCATGTGACAGGCACTCATTTTCGTGTACAAAAATACAATTTGTGCCACAAAACACATTATTTAATGACAAAATCAAATAGTGCCTTGCTGCATTCTGTCCACAAAAGTAAAAAGACTTCACTTTCTTTTGTGTACAGAAATGAAAAGGAATGTTTCATTTTGTGTACAGAATTGATATCAGCACTGCATTTTGTGAATGAAATACATTTTGTGAATTAAAGTCATTTTGTGGACGAAAAGCATTTTGTGAATGATAGAAAGTCATTTTATAAGTGCTGATATTTGGTATTTAAGGAGGGCTCTACAAGACAGTCAGGGGGATGTTCCATAGCCAGTAAGCTGCACATTGCAGGTGGGATTAGTTTTCTCAGCATGTGTAGCCTTTACTGAGGATACCCTCTGTAATCAGAGCTCCTGCGTGGTACTGGGTGCTGATCAGTAGCCAGATTTGTATCACAGCTACTATGAGTATCTTCTTCTGGGGTTATGTAACTATGGTCTATTGTCTATCGTCCCAACCGCTCCACGGACGATGCCATCGCAACCACCCTTCACCTGGCCCTCACCCACCTGGACAAAAAGGACACATATGTTCGAATGCTGTTCATAGACTTCAGTTCAGCATTCAACACAATCATTCCTCAGCACCTGACAGAAAAGCTAAGCCTGTTGGGCCTGAACACCTCCCTCTGTAACTGGATCCTGGACTTCCTGACTGATAGACCTCAGACAGTCCGGATCGGGGACAGCGTCTCCAGCACCACCACACTGAGCACTGGGGCCCCTCAGGGCTGTGTTCTCAGCCCGCTGCTGTTCACTCTGCTGACTCACGACTGTGCAGCAATGTACAGTTCAAACCACATCATCAAGTTCGCCGATGACACGACCGTGGTGGGTCTCATCAGCAAGAACGACGAGTCAGCATACAGGGAGGAGGTGAAACGGCTAACGGACTGGTGCAAAGTCAACAACCTGTCTCTGAATGTGGACAAAACAAAAGAGATGAATGTTGACTTCAGGAGACCACGGAGCGTCCACTCACCGCTGAACATAGATGGATCCTCTGTGGAGATCTTCAAGAGCATCAAATTCCTCGTTGTTCACCTGGTGGAGAACCTCTCCTGGTCCCTCAACACCAGCTCCATAGCCAAGAAAGCCCAACAGCGTCTCTACTTTCTGCGGAGGCTGAGGAAAGCCCCTCTGCCACCCCCCATCCTCACCACTTTCTAAAAGGGGACGATTGAGAGCATCCTGAGCAGCTGTATCACTGTCTGGTATGGGAATTGCACTGTAACAGACCGCAAGACCCTACAACGGATAGTGAGAACGGCTGAGAAGATCATCGGCGTCTCTCTCCCCTCCATAACCGACATTCATTAAACACGCTGCATCCGCAAAGCTAC